GTGTGGGTGTGTGAGTGTGAGGGTGAGTGTGAGAGTGAGGGCGTGGGTGTGTGAGTGTGAGGGTGTTGGTGTGAGGGTGAGAGTGAAGGTTTAGGTGTAGGGCGACAGAAAATACAGTTTGTACAGTATAAAAACCATTACGCCTATGGAGAGTCCCCATAAAACATGGAAACACAACGTGTGTGTGTGTGTGTGTGTGTGCCTAATACATAAAATAAATAGCACAGTTAGACTATAGGAAAACAAAACTAATACTCATAAAACTCTTAACAAAATGTCTCTATTTATTTTAGTTGTGTTTACGTTTTAATGTATGTATAAAATGTAATGCAGTCTGGTTGAGTCCTTTTGTATTATTATTATCTGAGTCGTGGAAGAGAAAGCGCTTCATTGATTGGCTGCCTGATTCCTGACTCCGCCCAACCCGGAAGAAGCTCCGTTCAGGTGACGTCGCATGTTGCTGTCCGTGATGGCGTCGTCCACAGAGCAGAGTCTGCTGGAGCTCACTGATAAGGACACTCGGGAGAAGCTGTCGCACTGGGACCGTTGCGGGGACCCGATGGCTCCGTTAACGGAGAAACAGACGGACTCGGTCCTCGAGATCCGCGCAGCCGCAGAAGTCACGCTTCTCCCAGCGGAGGTGAGTGCAGCGATGCTAGCGTCAGCTAACAGCTCAAACACACACACACACACACACACACACACAGACTCAAACACTCACACACACACACACGGACCCCAATTTGAAAACCTCTACTTTGGGATATGCAAAATATATGCAATACTAATAATAACCAAACAATCAAGCCAAATGAAAGATAAAAAATTATGTGTTATTGTTACTTTTCCACACTATTTAAAATGACAAGTGGCAGTCGTGGAATTGGTTGTTGGAAAGCTCTCTTTCGTTGGGTCTGAATGAGCGACGATGTTATCACAGGACGTGGTGAGCTGGCTAGGATTTCAGTACTCACTCACACACACACACACTCACACGCACACACTCACACACACACAGACTCACACGCACACACACTCGCTCTCACTCACACACACACACAGACTCACACGCACACACACTCGCTCTCACTCACACACACACACAGACTCACACGCACACACACTCGCTCTCACTCACACACACACACAGACTCACACGCACACACACTCGCTCTCACTCACTCACACACACACACACAGACTCACACTCACACACACATTCACACTCACTCACACACACACTCACACACTCACTCTCTCTCTCTCACTCACACACAGACGCACAGACAGACTCACACACACATTCACACTGACTCACACACACTCTCACACAGACTCACACACACTCACTCACTCACTCACTCACTCACTCTCACACACACACACACACACACACTCTCGCTGTAGAGTCACACTTCTGCTCTGTCTGTAGTGTGCACTAGGATGAGCACTCGGTCTGGCTGGTTAGGTGAGGTTAGTGTGTGGAAGTGTGCCACGTATGTAATCCATTCAGTGTGCAAACGAGTCAGTTTAGCTACACAAGTCTTGCATTTCAGTTTTGAGAAGAATTAATAATGCTAGTTTAACCAGGGCTTCGCTGAACTCCTGTGGCTTTCAAACTGGAGTCCTGGAAAAGTTTGGAGAAAAACAGAGTAGAAGTAGCATATTAGGAACTAAATATTTTACACTTGTAATATACATTTTTCACAGTATAAATTGGCTCTTTAAACATGGAAAATATATCACTTCCTTTTACATTTAAGGTTTAAAAACACCTGACCTTAATGATTTAACTGAGATATTAAGTAATGTTACTTCTGGGGAATGGGGGGAAAGTTCACAGAAAAACTAAAAAATATTAGATTAATAAATAATTTAAAAAGACTAGATTAAACTTAGGCATTTAGCAGATGCTTATATCCAAAGCGACTTAAAAATGACATATATATATATATATATATATATATATATATATACTATTAATTAATGAATAAATAAATGTAGGTCACACATGATGCACTGTGGCTGAATGACTCTAAATAAATACATTTGATTTAAAATAATAAACAAATACTAGATATTTTCCAAATAGTATTAAATCATATTAAACTAAATAAATAAATGATTTAAAAATAAAGATTTTATCCCCTCGTTGCTGGAAAATATAATGTAGCGATTCAGTATTTAAACTGTTATTAATAAAAGTCATGGGGCAGCGTTGACAGGTTTCTTTTCTCCTGGATGTGCGAGCTGTGCGATCTCCAATATGTGTGTGTGAGTGTGTGAGTGTGTGTGTGTGTGTGTGTGTGTGTGTGTGTGTTGTGTGAGTGTGTGAGTGTGTGTGTGTGTGTGTGTGTGTGTGTGTGTGTGTCAGTAAGCAGCACATTAATATAGAACGGTAATTAAAGGCTGTAATGCACAGCAGTATAGGTGTGTGTATTGTAGGAGCTAGACGACGTATGATGACGTGTGATGGCATAGTAGTGGTGTCCCAATTCTTAGGGGAATATTTTCACCCCTACCCCTTGACACTCTGTTTCAAGGGACAAGGGGAAGGGGTAGGCAGAGGGGAAGGGGTATTAAATAGAATTGGGATTGGGCCTTAATCACTCATGTTGGGTGTTTTGAGAGGGCATGAGATGGTGATGCTGCTCTGAATGTTTCCTCAGCTGCCCATCGAAGACATCTGCAGCCTGACGTCTCGCTCTCTGCGCTCCGCGTTCACAGCGACTCTGCCCGAGTCCACGGAGGAGGTGCTTCTGCAGGGCTTTCAGATGCTGGAGCTGGAGAACGAGCGGATCCAGACGGCTCAGCAGGTCAGCTCTGCTTTTATCATCCTTGCATGAGAAATAAAGTCCAGTTCCAAATCAATAAATGCAGACATTCTGTTTTAAGTGAATGGCTTCGCATACTCTAGTCTGTACTAACACAAACTAATCTTCAAGTCTCATTTATTTCTATAGTGCGTTGTACAGTTCAGATTCAAAGCAGATTCACACTAGTCATAATAAACAGGAGCATAACTTGAGATAAATTAAAGCAGCTCTAATAATAGCTTACTTTTTTAAACTAATAGATTACTAACACACTGTTCTTACTATTTCTGCAGTATGTATTCTGTATAATATACACAGCATTTGAATGACTCATTACTTCATTAACCACCAAAAGTTATCCTCCTGAGACCCTGCATCCTCATATGAGGACATTATATTTTAGTGTATTTCTCTGAGACTATACATGCCACAGTTTTACATCCGGATGTCCTGTACAGAGCACTTTCAGGGCTTTTCAGAGATACTAAATGTTTCCATGTTTCACCAAGACCACTCTCTCTCCTTGGTCTTCAAAAATGTCTGATATTAATGTAGTGACACTCTTATGGAAATATGATAATATTTTGTAATTGTCATTTAAATCTGACACATTTTTAAACTGTGTGTCATAAATCAACGTCTCAGGAAAATGTTATGGGGTTTCAAATCAAAATATGACTTTCTGTTACGAAACCGGACGTTGATTTCATACACGTCCTCATATGAGGACGCCGGGACTAAAAGCATGTTTATTACGCATTCTGGGAGACACAACAAATTAATAGGGAATGAAATTATATTTAAATATTCCTATGAAATATTATGTATAATTATGAAAATCTTGTCAATTATTACTCCCATTATTACACTTCTTTTTTCATTACATGTTGCCCCAAAAACACATTATCTTTATACAAAGTTTGGTAAAAAAAAAATCTATTGTTTTTGCCTATGCATGTTCATTCATGGCTTTTTATTTAAATTTTTTTTAATTGAGTCCCGATGTCCTCTACCAAGGACGTAGCATAACTTATGAATGAAATATCATTTAAAACATTTTTTTTAGTGCTCTAAACAATGTAATGACATGAAAAAATACAAATTGTTTCCTAAAATGTTTTGCCGGGTCTCAAGAGGTTAAGACATTTTACTCAAAATTAAATTATGGGGAAAAAATGGTATTGCTGCTCATAAGCTTTACACAAAAGCATAGCCAGGTTAAATTTAACCCCTAAAGTCTGCATAAAAAATGTATTTTAAATGCATGTTATTAAACGTATTGTGAATAATTCATCATTGCATATGATTCATTTTTTATTTTTTGACCTTGTGATTTTTAATCAAACTGTCTTTATTCGAGATCTTCAGATGCTCACATTCATCTGCCTCATTTTTTAGATGCCACACCCACAGGGCTGCACGATTATGACAAAAATCATAATTGTCGATTATTCCCTTGAAGTTGTAATTGTGATTATTAATTACAATCATCACAGTTTACATTGAATGATGTTTTGAATAGCTTTATACCATTGTTTGAAGCAACTGCATGCCATATTTTTATTTATAAAACGGAGATTTCCGGTGCTTGATTCTGATTGGCTGAGCCGCGTTCGAAGCTGTTGTAAATGACTCTACAAACACACACCTTTGTTTACGTTTGTGTGTTGCTCGGCAGCTACTTTGTTGCAACCACAACTGTTTCTGAGGCGCTACATTGTTTGGTGGAAGAATACTGTGTTTATAAATATCATTACACTTTATTTGCTCTGTTTTATTTTGTGAAACCTTACTACGTATATAGAATAACCGTTTTATAAAAGCAATAAGCCCCGTGAAACCGTGGTTTACAGTGAATTTATAACAGCTTAGGGGGTTTTAGGCACTCCACTTCGCGTCGTACATTTACGTTACATTTACATTTAGTCATTTTGCAGACGCTTTTATCCAAAGCGACGTACAATTGGGAATACATAAAGCGATTCTTCATAAAGAGGCAAACAGACACAGGAAGTGCTTGCAATACCGAGTTTTTAGACATTGTTGAAATAAGTACAAGCTAGAAAGATAAGGAATAAATTAGTGCTGGGCGGAATGACCAAAAATTTATATCACGGTATTTTTCCAAATTATATCGAGAAAGTTGCTAAATCTAGTGCTAAAGTCTCGCTGGTGTGTGTGTGAGACGTGGGAGCTGATGGCAGCGGGCGCTGGATATTTGTGGAGGTCAGTGTGGATATTGTGTCTGAGTTCTTCTGTGTCATCACGTTCTATTAGTTCTACAGCTTCAGTTTCTGAACTTTCACGCTTAGTAACACATACAGCTGTTCCCTCACCACAGTGCAACAGTGAAAAGAGACCCCTTTCAAACAGTGCCGCGTTCCCAACGTTGTTTAAGCGTCATATTGCGGTATTTTAAAAATTCATATCATAACAAAAATAAACACCGGTATTCGGTATGAACTGGTATACCGCCCAGCACTAGAATAAATAAAGACAAAGAATTTTTTTTTATTTTTTAGTCGTACCTAACGCCCCTTAGCTGTTATAAATTCACTGTAAACCACGGCTTCTTGGGGCTTATTGCTTTATTAAAAATGAACAAGCTGAAAGCACTCTTCCTGAAAAACTTTTATTGCTTTTCTGTAGCATTAAGCCTCAAATGTCATCTATACATTGGTTTGGTTTCTTTAAATAAAAAATGTAAATGTGCGTGGTATTATTAATGCTATACTAAATCTAAAAGTAAAACCATGGGGAAAAACCCTTAAGATAACCTGTAGCACAGAATAATGTAAGTGTTTGTTTTGTTTTGTAATTGCGCCTTTGAACAATTACATAATCGTGGCGTCCGTAATTGTAATCGCAGTTAGACTCTCGATTCATTGTTAGGGTTGTGCGATATGGGAAAAAAAAAACTATCGCGATTTCTTTGATCAATTGTGCGATTTCGATTTTAATTTCAATTTTGACACACACAGACATGCTTTACAGTCATTAATGCATTCAGTGTGAATTTGAAACATATTTCCAAAAGAAAACCAATTAGAGCTTTATCAAGAAGCTGTAACATGTCTCTAGAACAGACATAAGGCAAAATAATCACTAAGTAAAGGTGTAACAAAATGTCTCTAGAATAGACATATGGCAGGAAAAAAAAGAAGAAAAAAATCCAGTGTCCAGGGATTTTTTTTGCCATGCATTGGTTATAGAGCTCTTTACTGCTGCACACGCACCGCTCCTGGAGCGCACTGCCGGACCACAATCGCGTGCAGTGTGAACGCTCTGATCCGTTAACATGGGTGCGGACAAAATACGCACCACAGACGGAGTGTGTGAACCTGGCGTTACGTTTGTATGCCCGCCAGGTCTGTGCTGTTCTCGTGCTCCATTTTGGCGTGCTGCATTCTGATTGGTTCGATTTCTAATAATATTTCACAATTTTTACTGTATAGTTGATCAAATAAATACATTCTTAGTGAGCAGAAGAGACGTCTTTTTTTTTTTTTAAACATACAAAAAAAAAAATTTAAATCATAGAAACTTTATTGTCATTATAATAATATAACAAAATTGTTAGTGTATGTAATTAAAGGCGTGTTCGTGTACATTGATGAATTGTGTGTATTTGTCTTCTCTCTCTCTTGTGTCGACAGTCAGAGCTGGTGGATCTGGCTGAGAGCATCCAACAGAAGCTCTCATATTTGAATGAACTGGAAAACATAAACACGGTAACGCTCTGCTGCTGTTTCCAGAATGTGTCGATCATGCGTTTATTGTCTGTTTATGCATCGGTCTGATCTCTCCTGTAGAAACTGAACTCCCCGACTTTATCAGTGAACAGCGAGGGATTCATCCCGATGCTTTCCAAACTAGACGAATGCATAGAATACGTCTCATCACATGTAAGCCAAACGCTTGCTACAGTGTTGCAGTATTCTCCTCTTGTGTTCCAAATTAGAATCTCTCAATGTTTCACACGTGCATATTCCTCATAATGGCTCTTTCTTTCTTTCAGCCACATTTTAAAGACTACCCAGTCTATCTGACCAAATTCAAGCAGTGTCTGTCCAGAGCCATGCTCCTCATCAAGAGCCACACGGTCAGCAGCCTGCAGAACCTCACGGCTCAGCTCACCAAAAGGGTGCGTTTAATAGAAACTAAAGCCTGCTGATGATTAGATCACAGACGATTGGATCATTTCCGGTTTGTTTATTGAATATGTCCCGAGCAGGACCCGCTGGGCGCTCCGAACGCAGACAACGCCTTCACGCTCTACTATGTGAAGTTCAGAGCAGCGGCACCCAAAGTTCGAGTAAGACTTGTGTGCAAACACTCGTTTGACATCAGACCGGATTGTTTGATTTGGCTCTTCTATAATTCTATTTTTACTTGTATGTGTATGTGATTTTTTTGTTGTTTTGTTTTTGTTTCAGAGGCTCATTGAACAAGTTGAACAGCGGTCCAACACAATCCCAGAGTGAGTGATTTATTTTTTGATAATTCTCATTTCTATGCACATGCATTCCATATTTAATTTATTTTTTATTTTTATCATATAACAACAAAATTAAAATCACAAATGTTGCCTTGGCAACTAGCTAAAATAAACACTGTTATTTTTTATTTATTTATTTTATTTTTTATTGATGGATTGATACTTTATTGATCCTTTACAGGAAATTACATAATTCATAATTACATAATAATGGTTTTAATTTTAGTTTCAGTTTTAGTTAACTACTGTATAATAACCCTGTTCTGGATCTTGTCATGAAACTGGAGGTTAAAGACCGTTCACCCAGATATGAAAACTCTTTTCATTTACTGTTGTTTTATTCTGACCCGAAATTATTTTCTTTACTCCATGAAACGTGTTTGACAGAATAATATTTATTTATTAGTTTATTTTTGTTTGTTTGTTTATTTATTTTTCATTTTTATTTTGTTTGTTATATATTAATTAATTAATTTGTTTTCATTTATTTTATTCATTTTTTAGTTTGTATCTATTTATTTTTCATTTTGTTCATTTATAATTATTTTGCATTTATTTTATGTAATGCATTTTTTTATTTTGTTCATTTATATAATGTTTTTGTATGTATTTTTATTTATTAAAGGTATACATTATATAAGTTCTATTTATAAAACTTAATTTTTTATTTTATGTAATTTATTTTCATTTATTCAATTTATATATTTTACGTTTTTATTTTATTTTTTAAATTATTTTCTTTACTCCATGAAACAACATGTTTGACAGAATAATATGTATTTATTAGTTTATTTTTGTTTATTTATTTTTCATTTTTATTTGATTTGTTTTATATTCATTTGTTTTCATTTATTTTTATTTTTTAGTTTGTATCTATTTATTTTTAATTTTGTTCATTTATACTTTTTTTGTATTTATTTTATGTAATTACATTTTTTAATTTATTCATTTATATTATGTTTTAGTTTGTTTTTGAATATTTTTTTAATTTATTAATGGTATACATTATATATTATAAGTTCTATTTATAAAACTTTATTTTTTATTTTATGTAATTTTCATTTATTCAATTTATATTTTAGTTTTGTATTGATTTATTTTTATGTTTGTTATTAGTTTTAATGTGTGTTGAATCAGGCTGCTTGGAAACAAACGTGTGTGTGTGTGTGTTTGTCACTTATTTTATTAATTTAATTTATTTTTTATTTTGTTTAGTCATAATGTTTATTTATTTATTTTATTTAATTTTCATTGATTTTATTTATATATTTGACTTCATTTTATTTTTGTATTTATTTATTTGTAATTTAGTTTGTTTATCTATTTGGATTTGTCGTGAATCATGCTGCTTAGAAACAAACTGATGTAATGCGAGTGTGTGTGTGTGTGTGTGTGTGTGTGTGTGTGTGTGTGTCAGGTATCAGCAGCTGCTGGATGAGATTCATCAGTGTTATCTGGAGCAGAGGGAAGTTCTGCTCAGTCCCAGTATAAACTCCACCTTCACAGATCTCACCAGCCAGAACAACAAGGATCACTGCGCTCTGGTGAGGGAACCACACATCATGTGCTGAGCATCTGACTGACTGTATGTGTATTTTATCCTGTTATTTACAACAGATGATGGCGTTTAAATGAACACACAAATGTCTTGTTTCTTTTCATTTGTGACCCTAGAACTTAATTTAGACAACTTTAAAGATGATTTTCTCAATATTTAGAATTTTTTGGCACCCTCAGATTCCAGATTTTCAAATAGTTATATCTCGGCCAAATATTGTCTGATCCTAACAAACCATACATAAGTGGAAAGCTTATTTATTGTATGTATATGTAATGTATAAATCTCAATTTGGAAAAATTTACCCTTATGACTAGTTTGTGGTCCAGGGTCACAAATGTCCAGTGATTTTCAAAAAGAGGACAAGTTTGTTTGTTTGAACAATTTACAACCTGGACGTTTTAGAAAAAAAAAAAATTACCTACATAGATACAATTAGTTATTGTTTTTTTTTGACTGAAAGTCTGCTCCTGATGTCCTAAACACTCGCGCTGCGTTGATTTGTGACGTTCAGCTGATGATCGCAGCTGTTGTTGTTTCAGGTGCGCAGCGGCTGTGCGTTTATGGTCCATGTGTGTCAAGACGAACACCAGCTTTACAACGAGTTCTTCTCCAAACCCTCGTCCAAACTGGAGTGAGTAAAGAAACTCATTTCAGATTAAAGCAATACTTCACACAAGCATAAAAACTCTCTCGTCATTTACTTTCATATTGTTCTGACCCGCAATTATTTTCTTTATTAGATGAAGCACAACATGTTAGACAGAATAGTATTTATTCATTTGTTTATTTCTGTATTTTTTTCTTTCTTTATTTGATTTAATTAATTAATTAATTAATTAAATGCATTTTTATTTTTAATTTTGTTTCGTTATTTATTTTAAATTAAAATAATTTTTTTTTTTAATTTGTTTGTCTTTATATTTATTTTCATTTTATTTATCTTTATTATCGTTATTTTTATTTAATCAATTAATTTGTTTTAATTATCATAAATTATTGACTTGTTTATTTAATTTTTCTATTTAATTGTTTTAAATTTTGTTTTAGATATTTATTTTAATTTGTACTTATTTATTAGTTTTTTATTTATTAGCTTTTATTTAATTATTTATTATTTGTAACATGTTAGGCAGAATAATATTTATTAATTTGTTTATTTCTGTATTTTTTCTTTATTTGATTTTATTAATTAATTAATTGCATTTTTTATTTTGTTTACTTCGTTATTCATTTTAAATAAATTAAAATATTTGTATTTATTTATTGTTATTTATTTGTTTGTCTTTATATTTATCTTTATTATCATTATTTTTATTTAATAAATTAATTTGTTTTAATTATCATAAATTATTGACTTATTTATTTTATTTTTCTATTTAATTGTTTTACATTTTGTTTTAAATATTTATTTTAATTTTTACTTACTTTATTTATTAATTATTTATTATTTGTATTTTGTTTCTTATTAATTTGTTTATTTCTGTATTTTTTCTTTATTTGATTTTATTAATTAATTAATTGCATTTTTTATTTTGTTTACTTCGTTATTCATTTTAAATAAATTAAAATATTTGTATTTATTTATTGTTATTTATTTGTTTGTCTTTATATTTATCTTTATTATCATTATTTTTATTTAATAAATTAATTTGTTTTAATTATCATAAATTATTGACTTATTTATTTTATTTTTCTATTTAATTGTTTTACATTTTGTTTTAAATATTTATTTTAATTTTTACTTACTTTATTTATTAATTATTTATTATTTGTATTTTGTTTCTTTTTTAATTTTATTTATTTGTTTGTTTTTTTGGAGCCTGGCAAGTTAAGTCTACTTTTGTTGCATGGAAAACAGAGGCTTTGGCATTCTGTGTATTTTTCGTTTCTATTTATTTTCTATTTAACCTCAGATTGTGACGGAATCAAGCTGGGTCTTTTTGCTTTTAAATATGTTTATATTATCGAGTGCATTATTTGTGACAGTGAGCTTCTGGAGAAGCTCTGCGTGTCTCTGTATGACGTCTTGAGGCCTCTGATCATCCACGTGGTTCATCTGGAGACGCTGTCGGAGCTCTGCGGCATCCTGAAGAACGAGATGCTGGAGGATCACGTCCAAAACAACGGTAAAACAACCTTTCCTACCACAGCCGTCTCTTTATACAGTTAAAAACACTGTAGATGCACAAGTCGAGTGAATTACTCAACCTGAATATTTCAGTGTCAGACTCCTTTCTGTGACGTCAAACCTGTGACAAACTCTTATATTAATGACTTGTGGCAGATTGGGACGAATGTCACGAAAATAAGCTATATGAAACGAATCCTAGAGCAAGAAAAATATGTTTTACTCATTTTAAATCGAAGTATGACCATGGTGTCTTTTAGGGCAGACAAGACTTACACATGGATATTTACTAAAAGGTGAAGAAACAAAAATGAAGTATATATGTGACCCTGGAGTGCAAAAGCAGTGTTAAGTCGCTGGGGTATATTTGTAGCAATAGCCAACAATACATTGTATGGGTCGAAATTATAGATTTTTCTTTTATGCCAAAAATCATTAAGATATTACGTATAGATCATGTTCCATGAAGATATTTTGTACATTTCCTACTGTAAATATATCAAAACTTAATTTTTGATTATTAAAATGCATTGCTAAGAACTTCATTTGAACAACTTTAAAGATGATTTTCTCAATATTTTGATATTTTTGCACCCTCAGATTCCAGATTTTCTAATATTGTCCGATCCTAACAAACCTCTCATCAATGGAAAGCTTATTTATTCAGCTTTCAGATGACGTATAAATCTCAATTTTACAAAATTGACCCTTATGACTGGTTTTGTGCTCCAGGGTCACATTTTATTGGATTGTACTGTTTTTCATGTAAATAGACAGCTGTTTTATTCAGAGGTGTGTCTAACTGATTCATATAAAAATGTATCACCTGAATGCATTTTAGAATTTTTGTCTGGTGTAGATTTGAAACGTCGCTTATAGCTTTTTGTTAGTTATACGCCTTGTGTCATTTATTCTGAGATCGCCATGAAAATCGCCTTGGTGTTGAAAAGTGAGTGAATGAATAATGAAGCAGTAGGGTTTGTCTCAGAGGTGCAGCTGGCAGCGTTTGACGCCGTGGTGAAGCAGATGCTGGAGGACGTTCAGGAGCGTTTGGTCTACAGGACACACATCTACATCCAGACGGACATCCTCGGATACAAGCCTGCGCCGGGAGACCTGGCCTACCCCGACAAACTAGAGATGATGGAGGTCAGCGAGCAGAGCGCTTCTGAGATGCTGTTAGTCCAGGGATGCTGGGGATCAATGAGTTTATGCTTTTTCACAACATTGTTCTTGTAGTTTAACTTGATGTACTAAAGTAACAAACTTATATTAGGGGTGTGCGATATATATCGTCTGCGATAATATCGTAATTGTTGTTTTAACGATGTGCGATTTGACATTATCGAGTATTTTGCAAAAACCATTCAAAACACCCCTACAGAGCGCATACATTACGTGAAGTCTAGACTAGTGTGTGTGCATTTAGTGTGTTTTCTTTCACTGCAAGATTCAGGCTATTAAAATGCATTTAGAATGATCTCAAATTCAAGACATGATGGCAGAAAATTTATATATTTATACCATTTCATATAGTTATTCAATTTCACACGAAGAGTGCCGTTTTTCTCCAAAAATTACCATGATTACAAATGTGACATTGAATTCAATAAACTATAAGTTAATTAAGAGACTTACGTTTTAGACGCCATATTGCTTGTTTTTGCTTTATTTCACCAACAAAAATCATCCCGAATACAGCCACAGCGCTGTTTTGTGTCTCTGAGCAACATGACGGTGTTTTGCTCCTGAATGAATCAACCGTTTAAATGATTCGGTTCAATCGCAGTGACTCACTCATTAACAGTGATTTGCTGCCACCTGCTGGCGGCTTTAATTTCACATTTCGGCTTTTTCTTTCTTTTCTTTTTTTTTTGTTGTTGATTTTTCTTCATGTTTTAAATCATTTCAAATATCAGTATTCAACGTTTTATGTTTAATATATCAAAACATTAATTATGCATTTGTAATTGCAGGTTAAATGCATTCATGTCTTGCATTAAACAGTGTGTAAACACATCTAAATGCCACTTCAGATGCAGCTTATGTGTTGATTTCATTTGCTCGGTAACAGCCCAAATGTCTTATTATTCTAATTCCCTGATTAAATGTAAGAATTTGACTCAAAAGATAATGAACACTTTTAGAAAAAATGGCTTTATAAAGGTAAAAATGCCCATAAAATGCAAAAATCAGTTTAAACTTATTGGAAAAGATGAATTTCTATCAGTATGAACTGACCACAGCACAGAATATGAAGAATATTAAAAACATTAGGAGTCAGCTGTCTTCGGCAGTCCTTAAGATACCAGCACAATAACACACTCAACAAAATATCGTCATCGATAAAATCCCATACAATATCGAGATATAATTGTCAATATCGCACACCCCTAACTTTTATATATATATATATATATATATATAGACCAATTTCAGTGTTTGCAAACAGTGATGACGTTTTTGTGGGCGGAGTCTATCTGGTGGCAGAAAATGCGCGTTTTAATGCAAGCCATGGAATAAAAGAATAAAAAAAGGTACATTTTGAGTTTTTATTTCCAAATTCTGACTTTTTTTCTTGCAATTCCGAGATTATATCTCACAATTCTGATAAGAAAAAAATCAACTCGTCATTAGGCTTATCGCGCAATATATGTACATGACCTCAATCATTTTTGGTGACGCAATATATCGCACATTATATTTACTTAAAAATGTATATCACCATGCTTTGTACATTCCACTTGCGCCGGTGTCTTTTGCAGCTTCTCGAACATAACGTGGTGTAGTCATGAGGTGCTAGTTCACATTTAAAAAATGCTTCTACAAACAAAGTTTCATCTGCAGATATGGCCTTGTTTAGGGATCTGTGCATTTGTGCATACGAACATCTGACTGCTGAGTAGTGATTGTGTTTTTCAGCAATAGTGTGCACCCTTAGTTTACAGAGAAAACAAGGTCAGGGAAAAATCTGTAAATGGAAAAATCGCCATACAATTTTTTTTTCTACTTTGCACTTTTTGTTAGAAAATGTTTATTTACCATTTATTCAGGTTTTTTAAGGTATCTAATATTTTGATACTTAATTTCCATGACCTGAATATTCTTAAAAACGAGTTTATATCCCACACTTCTGGCTTTTTTTCCCTCAGAATTGGCAAACTCGGAATTGTTGAGGTAAATGAGAAAAAACATCAGAATTGTCAGATAAAATAGGTAGGCTAAATGTAATGTAAAATGTTATAGGTTTAAATAGTATTCAATGCTTTAACTGTAGGGCTAATACAATATGTCCCCTGTGTGAATATTATATAGACCTATTGTTTAAATCAAATGTATGCTTTAAAAGTAGGGTAATCGTAGCAGGTTTCATCCATAGTGTGTCCGTTTAAACATCTGCATTTAGCTTCAAATGGCATCTTTGATGACATTATTCTATAAAAATTATTTGCATTCTGATTCTGACAGCTGCAAGTGACGTAACTGTGACGTCTACTCCAAATTGGTCTATATATATATATATATATATATATATATATATATATATATATATATATGTGTGTGTGTGTAATACAACAAAAAATATTGAAACTTAAAACAAAAATTTATGTGGAAACTGTAATAGTGTTTAATTTATACTAAAATAATATTGCCTGGAAAGCCGACTGTTTCCTTTATGAATCCATCCAGCTTTGAATTATTAATTATTATTATTATTGCATTTATTATTTTTGTAATTTATTTATTCATTTTTAATTTTTGCAATTTATTTATTTCTATATACATTTTTTTAGTTTATTCTTTTTTTTTTTACATTCATTTATTTGTATTTTTTAAGTTTTATTTTTTTATATTTTAATTTATCTAATTTTGTATGTGTTTATATTTCAATTGTTATTCATTTTTTCACATTGTAGTTTTTATTTTTTACATTTGTTTAGTTAATTTATTTTAGAATTGTTTCATTTAACTATTTTTTGCAATAGTTTATTTATTTGTTTTTATTTTTAAGTGTTTTTATTTTGCAATGTATTTATTTTTATTTCAGTTTGTATTTATTTAAATTTTTTATTTTTAAATGTATTTATTTTTATAATTTTAAAATGTTATTTTAATGTTTTTATTTTTAACATTTATTTTCATTTTCAATTAATTATTTTATTTTTTTATGTATTTATTTTTATAATTTTTTATATATTTTCTATTTTTGAATTTATTTATTTTTTTATTAATTTTCACTTTTTCTTTTCTTTTTTATTTATGCAAATGCAAATCTAGTCTGTGTCCAGTAGTGTTTTGAAGAGTGTATTCTGTTGCAGAAAATCGCTCAGAGTCTGAAGGAGGAGCAGATGAAGCTGACCTCGAGCAGCTCCTTCTCTGACGTGCAGCTGGAGGAGTCTGATAATAAGAAGCTCATCAGCTCTGGTGAGTGTTTGTCGGGACACAGTTTCTGTGATCAGCAGCTCGTCGTGGACGGCGGTGACGGTACGCTGTGTTTCTCCTGCAGAGCCGCGCGCACACAGCACAGTCTCTCCTGCAGATCTTCATGGCATGTGGTATCCCACCGTCAGACGGACGCTCGTGTGTCTCTCCAAACTCTACCGCTGCATAGACGTCAGTCTCACACACCACTAATCATTACAAAATTAATTAACAACTAGGTTCATTTAATAATTAACCATTTATGAATGCAAAAAGACCAATCTATAGTTTCCCAATGGCACTGTTTTAATAATATGTATTAAGAATATTCAATAATTTAGTATCAGATTTGTATTTTTTATCTGATCTTGTGGTTAATTAAATTAGTATATTAAATCGAAATCTTAATGCTGATAGAGCACCAAACATGAACGTTTTGTCGTCTTTTATTCACCCAAGCGTTATTATAGTTAACTGAAACTAAAACCATTTTCATTACATGAAATAAAAAACACATTAATTATAATAATAATAATTTTATATATATATATAAAATGACAAAACACACAAAATCATTCAAACTTGACAAAAACAAGTTGAATCTGCTTTTTAAATAACTTATTATTATTAGTAGTATTGTTATTGTTTTTGTATTAACGAGCATTTATGGTATTTTCAGAAACCTTGTGAAAGATGTAAGATACAGTTGTGCTCAAAATTATTCATACCCTTGGTAAATATGATCAAAGAAGGCTGTGGAAATTAATCTGTATCATCAGTCCTTTAGATATTTTATTTTAAAAATGTACTCAAATGTAACCTTTTGTTGGAGAATAAGAATTGTAAATGGGAGAGAAATCTCATTATGACATAAATGTTTTTCTCTAATACACATGGGTCACAATTAATCACACCCTTTTATCCATTACTTTCTGAAACCTCCTTTTGCCAAGAGAACAGCTCTGAGTCTTCACCTCTAATGCCTGAAGAGCTCAGAGAGCATTCCTTCATCCAGAATCTCTCCAGACCCTTCAGATTCACAGCTTCTCCTCTTCAGTTCAGCTCACTCCTCTTCTATCGGGTTCAGCTCGGGGGAACTGGGTTGGCCAGGCCAGAAGCTTGCTTTTGTGCCCAGTGACCCATTTTTGTTTTGATTTTGATGTTTGTTTGTGGATCATTGTCCTGTTGGGAGATCCAAGCATGGCCCATTATAAGATTTCTAGTATGGACAGTCAGTTTTTAATTTTTTATCCACTGGTATTTCATAGAATCGGTTATGCCATCTATCTGAACAAGATATCCAGGATCTCCGGCAGAAAAACAGGCCCACAGCATTAAAGACCCAGCAGTAGTGCTGGGCGGTATACCGGTTCATACCGAATACCGGTGTTTATTTTTGTTATGATATGAAT